TTTTTTTTTTTTTTTTTTTTTTTTTTTTTTTTTTTTTTTTTTTTTTGGTTTTGGTTTTGGTTTGCTTGTTTTGTTTTTCCAGACAGGGTTTCTCTGTGGAACAGCCCTGGCTGTCCTGGAACTCCCTTTGTAGACCAGGCTGGCTTTGAACTCACAGAGATCTGCCTGCTTCTGCCTCCCGAGTGCTGGGATGAAAGGCGTGCCCCTGTAACTCCTGGCCCACTACATCATTTTTCTGGTCCTTTGTTCTTCATTTTTTGTCTTCTACTGCATACTCTCTAGAACTTTTTCTTTGCCTTCTAATTTTAATACAACAGAAAAAAAAATACCCTTTGCCCCAATGTCACAGGTGAAGTTATTGGCATTCATTTGTGCTATGGACTAATATATGAAGGATGAGAGGGAGAGAGGGGAAGTACAATAAAAAGCAAACACAGAAACAAAGTCATCAGGAGACGAGTGTGTGCAGTGGTCCCCAAAATAGCGTGGCCCTTGTTAGTTCAGAATACGTGTTCTATTTCACTCCTACTATAAACACATTAAAAGAGAAAGAACAAAAGCCCTCCCCGGAGATGCTTAGGCTGGACCGAACATTGTGCCCCTCATGCCGAATGCCACTTCTGTAGCTGTTCTCTGGCGCGATAGAGTTTAGTGATGGCCTCTGTCGGTACAGAGAGTGTATACAAACAGACACAGTGCTCCCCCTGACAGTCACCTAGCACACCTATTCACTATGCTGGCTCAGACGCACTGGGCTGAACTTACTCAAGTTCACTCAGCACAGCTGCTAAGGTTGTCTGTGAAGCACATTCTTGTCTCTTCGTGGAGACAACACTTGAGTGTGGGGAAAGAACAATCTTGGAATTTTAATTTTCTTAAGTAAGTTTTATAAAGTTTAATATGAAAAGCAAATTTTAAAAATTTCTCACATTGAAATTAACCAGACCTAAAGTAAATGCATTCCAGTGAACTTCCAAACAGTTAGAATGGCTGTTTAGAACAGACATTATAGAGTGTCCCCCTGCATTTTGCACTTTTACTATTGAATATATTTTTATGCACTTATCCATTACCAGAAACAAACAAAAATTCATGATGAAGTTAGAACCATAAAACCATTTGGCTTTAAATTCTCGTTTGTAACAGAAGAAAAAAAAAATCACTCATAAGCACAGGTAATGGACACGAGTTTGGAGTTTTTTAAGAAAAGTGTTTCTACATCATGCCTTCCATGTAGCTTCCAAATCATCTTCAGAAACTTTCAGGAAACACGCACTTTCCAATTGCCAACTGGTTCCTTCTTTTCTAACTGAGAAGACATACAGCCCACTGATGCCTTTTTATTTCCACTAGTGATTTCTATTCCTAACAATTTGTTCTTGTTGTTGTTGTTGTTCGTTTGGTTGGTTGGTTGGTTGGTTAGTTTGGGTTTTTCTTTTTTTTTGTTTCTCGAGACAGGGTTTCTCTGTGTTGCCTTAACTGTTTTGGATCATTTTTGTAGACCAGGCTGGCCTCAGATTTACAGAGATCTGCCTACCTCTGACTCCCCGAGTGCTGGGATTATAGGCGTGTGCCACTGGGCCCTTTGCAATTTGTTTTTAATTTAATGTTAGTTTGTGTGTTTCTTTACATCTGCCTCAAGGCATACAGCACCTCTCTGTATCAACAAATGAACTGTCAAGAAAAAAAGTCAGAATTTTTAAATTCAGTGTAACCCAGTATCTGATTTTCAAAACTATGATACATATTTCAGTCTGCTTTCATTTATTTATTTGTTCGTTTATTTTTAATGACAGGGGATTACTGCTATTCCCATAAATCATGATATGATGAGTTGGAAAGCTGAGCTCAAAGGACTTCAGAATTCAATTTGGGAAGGTTCGTGTTTTTAAAATCAATCTGAGAAAGAGAGGTAGAGAGATAAAGAGATGATCTAGGGAGCAAATCCAGGACCTCACTCCCATCCTTAATGTTACTATATTTTTAAGAAACAAATACAATAAAGTATATTTATCAAGAATGTCTGCCAACAGTCTCATAAGATCGGAGAATATCTATCAAAATTCCTGTTGACTTCAGTTTTCTATAGTTATTTCTTGGTGTTCCCTTTATGGTTTTTCCCTAAATCTCCAGAAGCCAAATTCTCAAGGAAACCAGCCCCCTGTGAAACTCGATAGTCTCACGAAAATTAACAAAATTCATGAGTTTTTTTCAGTTACTTATTTAAAAGAGATTCTTTGGCTGAAGTGGGCGAGACAGGCACATAAAGCAACCAAGACAGTAAAATCTGTTTTGCTATGGATTTTGGAGAGAATGCCAAAGAAGGGAGGGAGATCAGCCATCACACCTGCAGGAGTCAGCCAGGCTTTCTAAGGAAGCGACATTTGGGTTGGCAGGTGAGCATCAGCCAAGTTCAAAGGGGAAAGAACATTCATGCTACAGGCAGGAAAGGTTGCCGCAGATTCTGGGGAGGGCGAGTTTAGCCAATACCAGAAGAGGCAGTAGGAAGGGGTCAGAGGTCATGAAGTGACAGAGCTGTGGGGAGACTGATTTTTGGTTTTGGTTAGGTGGTACAGGATCTGCTCTGCAGTGCAGAATGGTCTGTGCAGTGTGAAGGAGTTTAAGAAAGTTATGGGGAAGCATGCGGTGATTTGATATGGCTACGCAGGAGCAGTTGCTGCCAAGCCTGATGTTATGAGTTCCTTCCCCAGGCCCCTCGTGGTAGAAATGGAGAACTCTGGCCAGCTGGTTCCCTACACACTCGCATGCACACACGCACACACACACTTACACAATAGAGAAAGAAACAAATGATATAAAATTTGAAGAAGAAAATGACATTTAAGGGAAAAAGAAAATTATGAATAGGTTTAATCCTAGTGGGGCCTCCAGTGTTCAGTCCAGCTAGAACTGACCATCACACTTTAATAGAATTGTTCCTTTCTACATTACAGGATTTGTCTTCGACCTGACAATAGATTTTACAGAAGAGTACAACTTTGTTCCTCCAGTTGTGAAATTTGTAACAATTCCTTTTCATCCAAATGGTAAGGACTAAGTGAGGCACTCACTATTGTGGCTTTTTCTTTAGCAACTGATAAAATAAGATTACTCATTGGAAAAAAAAAAAAAACTTTTAAGAGGCAGAAGAATTGGCAATCTCTTTGGATCCTGATGGTTAACGAAGCCATGTTCAATATTTTACCAAACCCATTCTCATTTTCCTGTGTACACATTTTTCCAGTAGTTGAGATGTCACATATGGTTTTGAACCTAGGTTTACTTTAAATGGCATGGTCTTTTTCCTGCATTTAAAATTTTTATTTTTAATTATGTATTTATGTGAAGCAGGGGTTGGGGGATTGTACACATGGATGTGGTGCCACTGGAGGCCAGAAGAGGGCTTTGGAGCCCCTGGAGGTAGGGGAGTCAACAGTGTGAGTGCTGGGAACCAAACTCAGGAATGCTGAGGAGCCCGTCTCCCCAGCCCCTTTTCCTGCATTCTTATACATTCTGTAAAAGATCGAATTAAATAGTCGAAAATTGCAAATATCCGTGAGTTGTTTATTATTTTAGTTAAGCATAATTTTTCACTTTATAAAAATAATAAGCAGACAACTTAACTGTTGACAAAGAAAATACATTAGGTTTCTGTGCTGAGTTATAGGTAAAGCCATTTTCTGAAGTACTGTTTTTTTGGTTTTTTGTTTTTTTTTTCTTACACAATGTAATATTACTGTTTGTGGACTTGTATGGTAGCCTTTCTATGAAACTACTGAAAACTATAACATTTAAACTACAAAAACTTTTAAAGACATCTGTAGCTACACACATTATAAACAAACTAAAAAGTAACAACACCACATCCTGGGAACTTGGAGACCATTTAAGATCCTCAGAACAGAATATCTGTACATAAAGAACTCTCGTGAACTAGCAGAAAGCATTGTGCAATCCATGAACAAACACTGGGTAGAGGAAACACAAGTCAGTCTCATTACAAAGAAAATAGATGTAAATTAAAACATAAAATATTGTGATTCAATACTTCTGCTCACAAATTTCTTTCTTCCTTCCTTCTTTCCTTTCTCCTTTTCTTTCTTTCTTTTTTTCTTCCTTTCTTTCTTTCTCTTTCTTTTGGCTTTTCTGAGACAGGGTTTCTCTGTGTAACAGCCCTGGCTGTTCTGGACTTGCTTTGTGGACTGGGCTAGCCTTGAACTCACAGAAATACACCTGCCTCTGCCTGGGGCTAAAGATTACCATGCCTGGCCTGTTTATAAAATGTTAAAAGACATTAAAACAAAATTTTAGTAAGCTTAGGCAGACATTATTCTTTGACATAATGGTGACTTTTTAGGGAAGAGATTTGGCAATTTCCAGTCAGATATAAAACACATGTATTTTCTTCAGGCTAAAATGCAGGTTTATAGAGATTATTCTGTAGAATAGTAGCACAAGAGTACGTTATATTGAAGGATGCTCATTCCCAACTTAACCCATAGCTTTGTTGCAATCTCTCGCATATACTTCAAATCATCTTTGGATTATTTTTAACGGTAAAAATGCAATGTGTATGATTTATATGTTATATTGTTTCAAAAATAGTGATCAAAAAACAACAACAACAACAAAAAAAGCCTGGACAAGTTTGGTATGAATGCTATTTTTTCTGAATGTTTTTGATCTTCAGTTGAGTCCACAGATTTTGAACCTGTGCATACAGGGAACATATTACAATGACAATGTCGGTTGACATAGGAATTTTTTTACATAACAAGTGTTTAAGTGAAACTTTCTTCATACTACATCTTTCCCCTATGTAGAAAAAGGAAGACCTGTGAAAGCTGGATTTTCTTGCTCACTGCAGTGTCCCTGGATTCATCATTGCTTGGCACATAATAGGTGTTTACATCTCTCTTTAATAAACCTATCTGGGGGGGGCCAGCATTGCTGACCAGCCTGACAATCCCCAAAACTCACATGGCAGAAGGAGAACCAACTCCCACAAGATGTCCTCTGACCTCTAGGCATGTATTGGAGTACATATGTATGCGTGCATGCTTGCATGTGCACACACACAAATAAATGAATGTAATTTTTAATAAATAAATATACTGCCTTTTACAAAACGAGGCTCGGAACTGAATCGTTGCTGGTTTCTGGGCAGAGACCAGCCTCCAGTTCCGTCTCTCCACCATGGCCAGACGCCTGGACCTCGTGGACTCTGAGCTGCAAGTCCTGGTCCTTCTGGCTGCAGTAGCACCCAGGGAGAGGAGGCGGGTGCCTGATTCTCAACAGTGTCAGAGTCACCGCCAGGCCTACAGATTTGGTGTCACCATCATGGTGTCTCGGCCGAGTTTTTCTTCCAAGAAGAAAGAGAAGAAGGACAAAAACATTCAGGCGGTGGTGAGATGCAGAGCCATGGATGGAAAATTAGCTGCTCAGGAGGAACAAATTGTTGAGTTGGCTTCTTGAGGAGGAGCTCAGTAAGGCCACCCAGTTATTTGTGGATACTAGAATGAATTTGACCAATGTAAATCTAACCTGCAAAGCAATACCAAGGGACTTAAAACCACTCAGCAACATTATCGGGGAAACAAAATTACAACTTGTTTCGGTTTTGGAAAGAACTCAGGAGAAACTTCATGATAACGCCAGCAAGTTGCTTAAGGCAGTTCAAGACACCACCAGGGATGGATCTGGTCTCCATTCTAAACTGGAGTTTAAGATAGCAATTGATAAACACAGTGCTGAAGCTCAGGATATTTTTGGCAAAAACAAACAAACAAACAACAAACCCAGAATGTTCAATAACAGGGAAGTATTAATTAAGGATGGCAGTGCAACGCAAAAGGCCAGTCTAGAAGCTTGTAAGACACTGTTTGGTAACCTTCTCTTGGACACCTTCAGTGTCTCTCTCTGAATTACACACCATTACCATGACAACACTTGAATCTCTCGTGTCTATCCCAGAGAACGTGTCAGCTCGTGTTTCCCAGATTTCTGGTAGGATACTGGAAGAACAATCATTAGCAGCACAAAGCACAGCTGTGCTGCAAGGACCGATTAATGAACCCGTGGCTGATCCTCTCGATTCCAAGATCAAGAAAGAGAAATGGACGGTTTTCTCCGCGTGCTGTGCAACAATCTGCACGAACGCCAAGAAAATACAGTTTCGTCCTCGGCTGAATTGCAAAGGCTTTATGGAAACCTAACGGAAGTGCTGAGGACAGTAAAGGAAACCCATTAGTAGAAATTTTGCCAGCCAATCAATAGTTGGCCAGAGAGGTTCTGTGCTTCAGAGAAGAAGTGTGAAAACGTCTAGAAACCACTGAGCAGTGTTCAAGAAAAGACAGAGTGGAAGTCTACAGAAACAATCAACGAAACAATAGTTCACAGTAAAACAGAAAAAAAAAATGCTGATTCCAAGGGATTATTGCAACAATACTTGCTAGGTGGGTCACCCCTTGAACCATATTCTTCACTTCAGCTGCCCTCAGTAATGTAACTTTCTAAACTGGGAAAGCAGAACTCCACACCGCCAGCAGAGGCAGATGGAAACAGAATGGGACCACATTCACTTGGTGATTTGCCTATGGCCAGACACTGAAAGCGGGGGCCTCAGAACTCAGCCAGTGCATCCTTACAACTCCTGAAGCTTCACCCAACCACTTGGTCTCAGGTCTCATTCTTAAGAACTGTAGCTAAATGAACAGGGGCCACGTACATCCAAGGGTTGTGCTGCTTTGGTTCAAACCTTCATGCAGCCTCTTCGGCTCTAGAGACTTGAACAAACCCCCTCACTAAACCTCTGTGCCCTCATCTATGAAGTGGAGAGAACATGAACTGAATGAGATTGTGCCCATGGCACGAACGGAGCGCACCATGAGCTGTGTAACCTGGAGTGTAACCTGAGCTGTGCTTAACCTCAGTGACTCCGCCATTCTTTCATGGGGGCCCTCAGAACTCATACATTTCTCACACTTAGATTACTCTTTCAATTAAAAACTTGCTCACATCTGAAAATAAAGAAGCCTAGAAATATGTTGCGGATTTATTTTTAAAACTATCATTCCATCTGATAAACACGTGAGCACTTATAAGTATTTATACAGATGGAAGATTGTAAATCAATGTGACTTAAGAGTAGAATTGTTAGGCAGGGAACATTCATATTTTACTGTATATTTTCTTGTATGCTTCCCCCCCCCCAAGTCCACTGTTGTTTTTGTAATTAAAATCTAGTTTTGAGGCTGCATTTGTGCAAACAGAAGGACCTGGCTTTGAAACACACACACACACACACACACACACACACACACACACACGCCTCAAATAAAATAACCTAAGTTTGAAATTGCTAGCATGAAATTGCCACACAGGTGCCTGTAAATCAGATAAACACAAAAGCTGGCCGACCCTAGATATCCATCCAGTGTTTGCCATTGTAAGAAATAGGGAAAAAAGAAAGAAGGGTAGAAGCAATAATTTTCTTGATGTATCATTATGATGCTTCATATGTTCTGGATGATGACATCAATGCATTATTTTAATACAGTAGACCCATCTACCGGTCAGCCCAGCATAGACTTTTTGGAAAACCATGAGATGTGGGACACAAATTATACACTAAGCAGCATCTTGCTTGCTCTACAGGTAAGAATACTGTTATTGTAACTGTGTGTGTGTGTGTGTGAGAGAGAGAGAGAGAGAGTGCGGGGGGGTCTCTTTAATACAGGTCCTCACTATGTCGCCCTAAGCTAGCTTTGAACTCGTGATTCTCCTGCCTCCACCTCCTGGGGGGCTGGAATTACAGGCATGCACCACCATGCCTAACTTAACACTTTAACACATATTCAGCTTTCTTCTGTGCTCCAGACAGTACTAGCTGCGCTCTCTCTCTCTCCCCCTCTCTCTCTTACAAGTTCATATCAAACCTGGTGAATAATGACACAGATACTCTTTCCTCCGGTCAATGTCTGGTTCCCAAATGCCACATTCACCACAGGATCACATCTTTAGAAGCATATACCTCCATCTTATGGTAACCCTTAGCCATAACTGTCCAACTTTCTCATCTAATGAAAAATTTAATTATTTCAGTAACATTGTTTTGACTGCTCAGGTAAAGGTTAACGATAGCCTCCCCAGGAATCTACTTATCATCAGTAATATTGGTGATGATAAATTATTAAGTTTTGACCATCTGGAACACCTGGAGAATAATTTTAATATAATAGGAAATTTTCACCAGAATTATAATATAATTGCTAATTGTTATTCATGAAAATAAAATAGTTGCTACTCTGATGAATCATCTTAACAGAGTAAAATGTAACTTTTCAAATGATTCAGTTCATGTATTCATTCATTCCACAAACAAGTGTTAAGCATCTGCCAGTGTGAGACTGGGTTCTGATAGAGACATTTGCAACACGGGGCTGGCAAGTTGGCTCAGCGGTTAAAAGCATTTGCTGTGCTTGCAGAAGACCCAAGTTCATTTCCCAGCACCCACATGGTAGCTAACAGCTATTTGTAACTCCAGTTCCAGGAGAACCAGTACCCTCTTCTGGTCTCTACAGCCCCAGGCATGCATATGGAGCACAGCCAAGCACATAAAATTACATACATACATATATGTATGTATATATGTGAGTGTGTGTGCATGTTTGTGTATCTGTATAGGTATATATACAGAAAAATTCTAATTCCAATCTTATTTATACTTCTTCCGATCTCTGCTTCTAAGTTTCTGTTTAGAACCATCCATCGGCTCCCACATATTCTACGATTTTCAGTGCAAAGCCTGTCCCAGAACAGAAGACCTGCTTCATGCATTTGAGCTCCAAATCATAATATGCAATGAATGCTGCTTCCGTTTGCGTCCCTGTGATTTTCTGCGCTCACACTGCTTGATGTAATTCAGATCAAAGAGAATTTACAAAGTTGTAAAGTCTTAACAGTACAAATCCAAGCAATGCCTGAACCTCAAGTAAAGCTGAGCCCTCCCCATAAGATGGCCACCCATCCCCCTTCTTCCCAGGATCTTCATATTAAGGGGCTCTTCACATCACCATCAGGTCAGGTCAAGCGAGTCTCTTTCATACGTCTTTTCTGATTACTTTTCCTAGAGCAGGATTATGGCTGTGGTTTGGAGGGGGCTTGCTTTGCCAGGTACCCAACAGTATTCAGATTTCCATCCAAACCCTGTGATATGTCAGTGCATATACTATGTCCTTCCTGAACTGTTTTCTACTGGACTATACCCCTACTGAAAGGTGCCAAGGAACTGAGTTTTCATTTACTATTTAGCAGTTTTATTTAAATCACTGTCTGCGAACAGTGTCTACTAGTAATGGATGATACAAACCACAAGCCATAATTACTGCCTGCTTCCTTTTAAATGAAAAAAAAAAAAGCCCATAGTTCTAAAAGCTATACTGTTGCTGTTCACAGATGGTATTTTAAATATCATTTACAATATTTTTAAAATACTGATTTCTCCACTAAAAAAAAAATTGCATTCTTAAATAATTAGAAAATTTCGAATTCCACATAATATAAAAAGGTAAATATTATCCATGAATGGTCCTTGGTTGGAGTATCAGTCTCAGAAAAGACCCCTGGATCCAGATTTTTTTGGTTCTTTTGCTCTCCTTGTAGAGCTCCTGTCCTCTCCATGTCTTACCATCTACTGCTTCTTTCATAAGATTCCCTGCACTCTGCCCAAAGTTTGGTTATAAGTCTCAGCATCTGCTTTAATACCCTGCTGGGTAGAGTCTTTCATAGGCCCTCTGTGGGTAGGCTCCTGTCCTGTTTCCTGTTTTCTCCTTCTTTCAATGTCTATCCCATTTGTTTTTCTTAGTGAGGATTGAGCATCTTACCCAGGGTCCTCTTTCTTGCTTAGCTTCTTTAGGTATACAGATTTTAGTTTGTTTATCCTATATTATATGTCTAATATCCACTTATAAGTGAGTATATACCATGTGTGTCTTTCTGCTTCTGGGATACCTCACTCAGGATGATCTTTTCTAGGTTCCACCATTTGCCTGCAAATTTCATGATTTCCTTGTTTTAAAATGCTGAGTAGTATTCCATAGTGTAAATGTACCACAATTTCTGTATCCCTCAGTTGAAGGACATCTGGGTTGTTCCCAGGTTCTGGCTATTATGAATAAAGCTGCGATAAACATGGTTGAGCAAATGTCCTTGTTGTCATGGATATAACTTAGAACCCCTGCTCAGATGTAGCCCATAGCAGCTCAATATCCAAGTGGGTTCCCTAGTAAGGGAAACAGGGGCTGTCTCTGACATGAACTCAGTGGCTGGCTCTTTGATCACCTCCCCCTGAGGTGGGGGAGCAACCTTACCAGGCCACAGAGGAAGACTGATGAGACCTGATAAGCTAGGGTCAGACGGAGGGGAAGAGGACCTCCCCTATCAGTGGACTTGGAGAGGGGAATGGGAGGAGATGAGGGAAGGAGGATGGGATTGGAAGGGAATGAGGGAGGGGGCTACAGCTGAGATACAAAGTAAATAACTGTAATTAGTACAAAAAAAAAGGAAAAAAGGTAAATATTAACCCTTCTACAAAACGACTTTCAAAGCCATGGGCTGCAGTCAAATGGATTTCCTCACTTACTGAAGATCCTCCAGAGCTTTCTGTTTATCCCCTGAAGAGCTTCTTGCTAGTGAAATGCCAGCACCACGTGGCTAACTTAAAAACTGAGCCTTTGTCCTCTTTGGCTCCTTTAGCAGCACAACTCACTTGCGATATACTAATATCCTAATAACTATACTAATAGCATATACTAATACACCGATTTTTAAAAATCATCAAATATATGCAATCCCTGTGTCTATGCTTCGTGAAAAAGCCTCACACACAGCAGTTAAGGAGAAAATACGCAATGAAAATTTTCAGGTGTGCCTTGATCAGTAAGACTCTCTCCCCAGCCGGAGACCAAACGCTCGCTCCTGAAGATTGGTTTCATCTGCTTCCCACCTGCACTTTGGGACCCACACTGAATCCTTATTCAAGCAATTATTATGATTGTGGAAACATAGCTTGAATGTGCTTCCCTAAGAGGAAAAAAAAAAAAAAACACGCCAGTAATAACGGAGAATTCTGGTCGGTTTTGAAATATCAGATGTCAAATGATTACTTTCATTAGTGAAAGTCTGCCATAATTCCTATAATTTTTGTTTTGGTTTTGCTTGTGGCTTTCTGTGTGCATTCATTATTGACTTGTGTAGGTGCTACAGCGTGCATGCAGGGGTCAAAGGACAAACTTGCTGGAGAAGTTTCTTCTCCTTGGGATCAAACTCAGGCAGCGCAGCTCGGCAGCAAGCGCCTTTACCCAGGAACCACCTCTCTTGCCCTGTTTTTTTTTGTTTTGAGGTAGGGTCTCACAATGTAGTCCTGGTCAGCCTCAAATTCACCACCTCCTGCTTCCATCTCCTAAGAAATGTGCCACCGCACGTGACTTTTGTTTTTTAATGTAACTTTCTTACATTTGTCTCTTTACTTAGGAGTGGCAGGCCATGAAACACAGGTAGAGGTCAGAGGAAAGCTTGTAGGAGTCCGTTCTCCTTCCACAATGCCGGTTCAGGGATCAAACTTAGGTATTCGGGCTTGGTGGCAAGTGTCTTTAACCGCTGGGCTATCTTGCCTGCCTGACTCTTTTCCTAACTTCCAAGCCGTCATTACCCATTTGGCTCTGCATCTACATTTAGGTATTCTAGTAGTGTCCTAGTTTGTTTATCTGTTGCTGGGTTAAGACATTAACCAAAATTAACATGGAGATGAGAGGGTTTACTTACCCTTTCTGATCACAGACCGTCACAGGGGGAAGCCATGTCAGGAACAGAAGCAGAGACCATGAGGGAGTGCTTTGCTCGGCGAGATGCAGCCCAGAACCACCTATCCGGAGGTGGCACTGTCTACAGTGGGCTGGGCCCTCCCCCATCAATCATTCATCAGGAAAATGCCCCACAGGCTTGCCCACGGGAGAAGCTGATGGAGGCATTTCCTCAGCTGAGGTTCCCTCTTCCCAGATGGCTCCAGTTTGTGTCACGTTGACGAGCAAAAGCAAACTGGCACAAGTAGTAATACATGCGGTAATTCTTTGGACTATATTCTATTAACCTGCATGTTATAAAACACGTTGCTCAAAATGTTGAATTATGAAATAAATATTGGCAGTATAGTGCAAAGCAAGTTTTGAGGTTACTAATACACAGGTCATAGTCTAGCAAGAGATTTTGGTCACCACTGGTCCTCTGTTTGGCCTAGATGCATGGACTTTGTGGGGTGCAGCATCTTAAAGAGGTTCCCCCAAGACACTAACCTACAAACTACTGTGAATGGTATACATATAGATTTTTGGCTATCAGTCGGCTGACCTTAACACATGAAGGTTAATTTATACTACTCAAAGTGTTTACGGTCTCTTAGCATTAGATGGTAGAAAAGCAAAGGCTGTGGAAGGGATGGGGCCAGAGGAAAAGCCAGGTTCCAACCTCAAGGAGGTTCTCTCATACCATGGCTGGCTCTGAGATGCTAAATGTCAAAGGCAAGGACTGAAGGCACATCTTTAGGAGCAGAATGTGGTACACAGCTAACACTCTGGATAATGAGATCTCAGGCCTACAGCTGCAAGGACCTGAATTCTGCCAACCTCGGACATGGATGGACATAAAGACATTCTGTCCAGAATCTCTGACATGAGCCCAGCCTGCTGATGCTCATCTTCTGACTCGTTCAATCTGGAAACTAGTCCTACATCTTGGACTAATTTGTGGCAGTGACACAATCCTAGAAACCTGTTGCTGATACTAAGCTAATCATTTAATGACCTGAAGGGGTAGAGACGTATGTGTAAACTCCAGTACATATGTTACCTGTTCTCCAATGCTTAGTTTACTTTACATGAAAGTCCAATTTAAATTTATGCTAGGAATGAATGCTATAGGGAAAAAACCCTGATGCTTTAGTCCCAGTGTTTCATAAATACACAGTATAAAACCAAGACAGAATGAGTTGCCCAGGATCCTTTTTTACTACTTTTATTTGTTGAGCTATTTGTTTTCAAGACAGGGTTTCTCTGTGCAGTCCTGGCTGCCCTGGCACTTGCTCTCTAGGCCTTGAACTCACAGAGCTCCACCTGCCTCTGCCTCCGGAGTGCTGGGATTAAAGGTGTGCGCCACCACCGCCTGGCTGTTCCGTGTTTCATATCTCTGTAACTATCTCCAGGACTATACATACTAGGCACTTACTAAATGTTTGTTGAGTTTATGTGTATTAGTTTTCTTGTTATTCCAAGAAACTTTTATTTTAGACTTGTTTGTTGTGTTTTCTTTTAGGTGTTGCTTTCTAACCCTATCCTGGATGCTCCAGTGAATTTGGAAGCAGCCCGACTCTTGATGAGAGATGAGACTGCGTATCAAGAAGTAACTCAGAAATTAATACAGCCAAAATCACCACGTAAGAATTACTTGGGTACTTTTCCTTGGCAATGAGCATCTATACACGAAATGTTTAAAGTAAAGCAAGTCCACCATTGAGAAAATAAGTGACATATAAGGAATGTTTTAATATTTTCTGTATCATTTTTAGTAATGAAGTGACATTTAATTTTCTTTCCTATAGCTACTCGTCAAATCTTAATTTTTTTAATTTTGTTTATTACCAACATGTTGTTTACATGCGTAGGCAGGCACAGTACCTGTGTAGCGGTGGGAAGGACACTTGAGGGAGTCAGTTCTCTCCTGTTATTGAACACATGTCATCAGGCCCATGTAGCGGAAGATTTCACCTCCTGAGCCATCTTGCCTGCACAGTGTGCTCCTTTCTGAAAGATCATTTAAGCCCAGTGTATTTCCATGCTGTGGTCATGTCAGGGGTACAGCTGGATGCTGTCAATTAAAGTTCATCAGCCCTATTATCTTATGGCATCTAGCCGTAATCCTCACATCTGAAATGAAGGTTTCCCAGTCTCTTCTCATGGTACCCCAGATGGTGCTGGCCATGGCCGCCTTTCCTCTTGTTTAACAAATTATTCCGCATTTTTTTTTCCTGGGCATTTCTTTCCCAGATATTTCTTCTAATAGTCCCGTGGGAAGGACACCGGAAGTTCTCCAGCCTTCTAGTCAGCTGTTGATATCCTTGGGTCCCTGCCAGCATCCTCCACTCTTTGGGCTGGCTCCTCCCACCTCCATTTTCCTGTGTTGTGTCTCTAGCCAGCGAAGCCCAGAAGGCTTTCCCACAAGCCAGCAGTGAGACATAGTTCTTTCTTACCTATCCCGCCCCTCCTAGAGGCGTGCAGCAACCTGGCACACTAGTACAATTGCCTCTCCAACCAGCAGACTCTAAGCACTTCGAATACTTCTTCTCTTGTATTTTTAATAATTTATTTAATTTTATTTTATGTGCATTAGTGTGAAAGTACCAGATCTCTTGGAACTGGAGTTACAGACAGTTGTGAGCTGCCATGTGGGTGCTGGGAATTGAACCCTGGTCCTTTAGGAAGGACAGACGGTGCTCTTAACCACTGAGCCATCTGTCCAGCCCTTCTCTTGTATTTTTATCAGTCCCACCTCCACTTTCCTTCACAGACCCCACTCACCCCAGTCCATTCATAAGGCTTGTAATAGCTTGTACCATCGTGGTCAAGTTCAATTTTTCCTCCTCCAAGGGCTTTTGGATCTGATACAAATTAAGCAGTATTAATCAGAAGTATTCTCTAATGCCTCCAGATGTATATTCTTCTCTTTTCCGAGTTCTTCCTGCTTTTGCTGGCACTTTTGAAGTTGACACATGCACAGAGGAATGGCATTGCTCTACCAGTATTCTGTACCATCCAGATAAGTTCTCTAGAATACTACTGGTTCTCAGTAAATATTTGTAAGATGAATGAAGAATACGTAGTATTTACCCTTTCACTGAAACCTACTATATCCTCATTACAAAGAAATACTGTATACAGTTAAGTTATGTCCATGTGCTGGCAAACAGCAATTTTTAAAACTGGGTTTAAAGAATTTCCTATAATAAATGACTTTATAGAATAGATTCCAGTTTTGCCCTACTGTGAGATAAACTTGAAATCAAAAGCATGGTGGCACATACTTACCATTCCAGTACTTGGGTAGCAGAGACCAAAAGATGGGTGAACTCAAGGCTAGCCTTAGCTATGCAGCAAGATCTTGACTCAGATAAAAACAAACAAGAACACTGGCTGTCTTACTTTCCCCATTTCTGTGACAAGAATAATCTTTCAATGCAATTTAAGGAAGAAAGAGTTTAGTTTAGTTTTCAGTTGGAGGTTACAGTCCACTGTGGTGAGGAAGTCACAGGGATAAAAGCATGAGGCAGCTGGTCACGTTGCATGTATGGGCAAGAAGCAGAGAGCGATGAATGCTGATGTAGGATACAACCCCAGAGAATGGTGCTACCCACAGCTGATGGTTTTATCCACCTCAGTTAATCTAGAGACTATCACACAGACATGCCCAGAGGTCTATCTTCTAGAAGATTCTAACTCTCAAGTTGACAGTAGAGATTAATCATTACAGCTATATCCCTTGTCAATATGATACCCAATTACATCACTTTTTTATTAATATAATTTTTTATTTATTAAAATTTATTCACTTTGTATCCCAGCTGTAGCCCCCCACCTTCATACCCTCCCAATCCCACTTTTCCTCCCTCCTTCATCTCCTCCCATGCCCCTTCCCTAGTCCACTGATAAAGGAGGACCTCTTCCTCTTCCATCTGACCCTAGCCTATCAGGTCTCATTAGGACTGTCTTTCATGGTCTTCCTCTGTGGCCTGGTAAGGCTGCCCAGCCCTCAGGGGAAGGTGATCAAAGAGCCAGCCACTGAGCTCATGTCAGAGACAGTCCCCGTTCCCCTTATTAGGGAACCCATTTGGAGACTGAGCTGCCATGGGCTATATCTGTACAGGGGTTCTAGGTTATCTCCATGAATGGTCCTTGGTTGGAGTATCAGTTTCAGAAAAGACCCCTGGGCCCAGATTTTTTGGTTCTGTTGTTCTCCTCATGGAGCTGAAGAGCCTTCCAGGTCTTTCATCTCCCCCTTCTTTCATAAAGTTCCCTGCACTCTGCCCAAAGTTTGGCTGAGTCTCAGCATCCACTTTAATACCCTGCTGGGTAGATTCTTTCAGAGGCCCTGTGTGGGTAGGCTCCTGTCTTGTTCTTCGTTTTCACCTTCTTCTGTCTATTCTGTTTACCTTTTTGAATGAGAATTGAGCATCTTACCCAGGATCCTCCTTCTTGCTTACCTTCTTTAGGTGTACAGATTTTAGTTTGTTTATCCTATATTATATGTCTAATATCCACTTATAAGTGAGTATATACCATGTGTGTCTTTCTGCTTCTGGGATACCTCAGTCAGGATGATCTTTTCTAGTTCCCACCATTTGTCTGCAAATTTCATGATTTCCTTGTTTTTAATTGCTGAGTGTACCACAATTTGTAAATGTACCACAATTTCTGTATCCATTCCTCAATTGAGAAACATCTGGGTTGTTTCCAGATTCTGACTATTATGAATAAAGCTGCTATGAACATGGTTGAACAAATATTCTTGTTGTATACTTGAGCATATTTTGGATATATGCTTAGGAGTGGTATAGCTGGATCTTGACTTTCATCTAATATCTTCTACTCTTATCCCTAAACTCTCATGTTCAACTCATACTACAAAATACAATCCAGCTTCAAATGTCCCCGTAGTCACTAACACTTCCACCAATTAAAACTCCAAAGTTCTCACCCCACCTAAAACTCAAGCAAATCCTTTAGTTGTTAACTCCTCTAAAAGGAAAAGAAGTTTAATACTTCTAATATACAGTGACACAGAATAAGCATTCATAATCCAAAAGGGAAGAACAGGGGGATAAAAAGGAATGATCAAATCAAAGCAAGACCCAAATCCAGCAGGAAGAACATCAAATCCTGCAGGTCCACGTCTGGCATCTGGAGTTCGTGATTTGATCTTCTTGGCTTCAGTGGGTTTACATCCTCCTAATCCTCCTGCTCTGTTGCCCATAGCATATGTAGAAACTGCTGTGCTAGCTCCATCCTATGCCTGTAGCTTGCCTTTGCAGACACCCCAGGATCCTGGCATCCCCAGCCTCCCGACATCTTGTAACTTAGGCTCCACCTTCACTGGCCACTTCAGGCCCTCCTGTCAGGGACTCCAACATTGCCACACTCTCTCTCCTTACACACTGTCTAAAACTATGGATCAGAACCGTGAACCCCTCGATCTTGTAGAACAGAGCAAGGAACCTCTTTGGCTTGGGCTTTCTTCCTTTAAGTGAATTTGGATTCTCTCAAGGTCTGGCCTCTCGTGGGTGGGTTTTACCCTTGGAACAGGTCCCTGCTATCTCCATGAAGCACGAGCTTCTTTCGTGGTGCTGCTCCCTGAGACAATTACAGGTATTTCCCCAGCATCAGCCTAAAGCTCTCCGGTCTTGAAATTCTCCCTGCCAAACAAAATAGTCCATTAATTTTAAGTTCAGCTCCATTCAAGTTCTCAGGACACAGGCAGAATAAACCCAGATTCTAGGCCAAAACGTCACAGGAATAACCTGTCCCAGTTCCCGATGGAGTCCTTGTTCCCTCTGATACCTCACAGGCTGGGCTTTCACTGTCCTCATGTCTCTGGTCATTCTTGTTTCTCAGGTTCCCACCAGACTCATTTAAACTCTGCTTGCAGCATTAAAGACCGTTTCTGGCTCAAAGCTCCAAACACTTGCACATTCTTCCCTCAAACCGGTTCCAAAGACCTAAAAACAATATGGCCCGGTTTCTGACAGCAAAGGTCCCACTCATCAGTACCAAACTTACGTGTTAGTCATTTTTCCTGTTGCTGTAATAAAGTGCCCCGACAAAAGCAACTCAAGTGAGGAAGGGTTTGTTTTGGCTCACGGTTCAAGGTTATCACCGTCCACAGTTATTGCAGAAAGTCATGAATGCCGGTACTCAGCTAGCTTTCTCCTGTTTATTCTACAGGCTGGAAGCCCCAGAAAGAGAGCTAACCAAGTGAGTGAATCTCTCTGCCACAGCTAACCTGATCAAGATAATTCCTCACAGACGTGTCCAGATGCCCATCTCCTGGGTGACACTAGATCTCATCAGGCTGACGATGGAGACTGACCATCACACTGACCCTGTGGAGTCAGTCTCTTTTTATTCTCCATGAGTAGACAACATCCTTACAGCACACCATTCAGAAAAGCAAGTCCAATCACCCAACATCTCAGGCAAACAAGCAATGACTACTTCATTTGCATGTGTTAGGAAATGTGTAGAAATCAAAGCCAGTTGCTAGGCATCGGCTGACTTGTCATCTTGGCTGTTCTGGGAGTAGAGTCTAGGACCCCTTAAAAGGAGTGACTTTCTGAGGTTAGTAGGGGAATAATTTGCTGACTCGGAGGAGTGGCTACTTTTATAC